GAGGTCACCACACAGACATCATGTCATTTACTTAACTTAAGCCAATATTTTTTCCATAACGTAGTAGATGAACTCATTAGTTACAATGAAAAACAGTAAGGAGGAGGCATCTGGTAGCCAACTGCCTACTTCTGACAGGGTTAAGATCACTAGATCTAGTAATGTTCCTGCTTTGACTACTGACATGGCCTAGTGCTACAGAAAAATGATGAGGGTTGTTGAAAATTTACAAGCCTACTGTCAGAATGTTATAACAATAGACAGATGTAATCAATTATATTTTTGCTGCTGTTCATATTTAACTTCTCATTTAGCTAAGGTGGGTTGAGTACTCAAGATTCTTCTGTTCTAAGAATGTCACTCTATAAATTTAAGAGGATTGGGTAAATTTAATTTATGACTGCATTCTGTAAAAAAGATCTACTTTTTGTTCCAGTCCTAAAGTCCATAGAAGTCAAAAGTATTATGAAAGAAAATCAGTGATTATGTAATAAAATGTTGGCATGCAGTGCTATAGGTCCTGTGTACAAAATCTAATTAATCTAAAAACTTTCTGTATTAAAAATATTATGAGGTCTCTTTCCAGATTTTTTCTTAAATTTTCAGAAATATTGATTTGGATTAGATCTTTTATTTTAGAGAGGTAAAAATATAATTTAATTTCCTTAGTGTATATTTCCCTTGGTAAATAAAAAGCAACCTTGGAGTATTTAACTTAAATTACATATTGGAGCTGTTTGATATTTTGGAAGAGAGTTTTAATGCACCCAGTAAGAAATATTGTAAAATGTAAGTCTTGTGAAGAAATGATTGTTCATCATAATAAATCAAAGACTCTGCTCAGTTGGCTTAAGGCAATCAGTTTTTTTTTTTATGGAATTAATACTGGATTGCAATAAAAGAATGAGAATACAAATCTGATCTCACTGGAAATTCAGTACCTTTTAATATTGTATGTACAGTGGTTTTATTGAAAAGTTTTTCAATCAGTAATTATTATAGTTTCATGATCAGAATCTAGACTGTATCTGTAAATCAAATTTAAGCTTTAGAGATGAAAAGTATCAACGGTCTGTAATAAATGGGGACAGAAGGGCAAGTTAACTTTCTCAGTGCTCTCTCTTGTTCATGAGTTCTGAAGGAAATGTAGTATATTTTAGCCTTAAATTTTACTTATTCAAGTTAGAATCATAACATTTCCCAGTTTTGTGATTTAATCAAATATGTTGTAATGGCTACATATCAAAATTCTATGCATCTGTCTAGAAATTCTTTGCTATTAGTATCAGAGGGGTAGCCGTGTTAGTCTGAATCTGCAAAAGCGACGAGGAGTCCTGTGGCACCTTATAGACTAACTGAAGTGTAGGAGCATAAGCTTTCATGGGCAAAGACCCACTTCGTCAGATGCATGTAGTGGAAATTTCCAGAGGCAGGAATAAATATGCAGGCCAGGATCAGGCTGGAGATGACCAGGTGGATCCAATCAAGGAGGATGAGGCCCACTTCTAGCAGCTGATCTGGAGGTGTGAATTCCAAGGTATACACCTCCAGATGTGTATATATACACCTCCAGATCAGCTGCTAGAAGTGGGCCTCATCCTCCTTGATTGGATCACCTCATCATCTCCAGCCTGATCCTGGCCTGCATATTTATTCCTGCCTCTGGAAATTTCCACTACATGCATCTGACGAAGTGGGTCTTTGCCCACGAAAGCTTATGCTCCTACACTTCAGTTAGTCTATAAGGTGCCACAGGACTCCTCGTCGCTTTTGCTATTAGTAAAACAGATTAAAATAGTATTCGTCCTTCAGTTTGAACCTCAAAATGTGCACATGCAGTGGGGCTTGGCTTTTGCTTAGACAGAGAATAAAGAGGTATTTTTACTTGTTTTAAACTAATCCTGCAGGTGATTGCTGAAAAATTGTATGTATGAGATTTTGCAACTTCAGAGAAATGCCTTTATATAGGAAGCAATATATCATAATGCTAAAGCCCCTACATTTATACGGAAAGACAATGAATTTTTATTGTAAACGCAATAAAAATTCTAACTATGGACCACTTTTAGTGTGCCTACCTTTGAATGATACAGTATATAGTGACAGTCTCTTTGCAGAATTTAATCAATAAGCGTATTTACTGTAAGTCTCTGCACTATATTATGTCAATTTGACCCACTCACATTCCCAAGGAGGAAGATGTTCATAAACCAGTAAAGCAGCTTAAGGTTAAGCAGAGCAATAGTATTCTTGGGGTGAATGTGAAAATCCTCTTCTTCCCTCCTCTTCAGAATTATCCTTCTTATTTTTGTATGGGGAAGTTTAGTCTCAAAAAATGCATTAATCTGATCAGTGACACGATCTTACTTTTTCAAAACTATTATCCTGCTAGGTATCTATATTGTAAAAATAGGTTCAAATTCTTGTCTCTCTGGGCTAGTAGACAATGTGTTTGTAATGGACTATTATCTTTGTCAGCTTTGCAGAACATAAACACAGCTTTTACTTCCCAGTTCAAAAATTGGAGTTGGTAAGGTATCCACTTTGGAAACATCATGTCATTCTCTTTGGGAAAGAATATATGAGTGGCAAGAAATCTTCTTTAGGGTTTGCATTTCTGCCAATGTATGATGTATAACATTGTTGGTATACAATTGTATATGAATTGTTCTAAGTTACGTCAAAGGCATGTATGTGTATGTAAACATATATGCTATGTCTAGACTACAGGGTTTTTCAAAAAAAGTGGCCTTTTTTCGAAAACACTTCACCTGCATCTAGACTGCTGCTGTGTTCTTTCCAAATTAAATCGAAAGAATGCAGAATTTTATGAGGAAGAAATGCCTCTTTTCGAAAGATCTCTTGCAAAAAAAGGTTTTCTTGACCTCAAACAGGGCTTTTTCGAAAGAGAGCATCCAGATTGCCTGGGTTCTCTCCTTCGAAAAAGTGAATCGCTTTTTTGAAAAAGTTGTGGCTGTGTAGCCGATCTTTCGAAAGAAGCGTGTAGTCTAGGTGTACTCAATGTTCACATATACAATGTAAATACATATATGAATGAAAATATGTGTTTATATAATTTATCTTTACATTTATTCTCATATATAAGTTCGAACCTAATAGACCTTTATAAAATATTACAATTTCATCATTAACTGTTGCCATACAATTTTGGAATGTTAAAAAAAAGTTTTATTTAGAACTCTTATTGAAACAGAATTTCATTTACATATGCTGCAGCACATTTTCTTCAAAAGTATCCAGATTTTCCACTTTTTAGAACCACGAAGAGAAAAATAAAAATACATAAGAGACTGCAATTTATATAAAACTATTCAGATTTTACTATCAGGGTTTTTATCTAAGTGACCATAATAAAAATAAATTCATATTTTAAATATACAAATTCAGTTTGAGTTCTGACTTTTTGCAGTTGAAAATATAACCACAATGTGGCTCTCCCTGAAGCGTAATTCAAAATATTGACTGTCTGAGGCATGTCTTCACAGCTTTAGCCAAATTTAAATTGGATTGTCAGATTGCTGTGCTTTAATAGCAAAGGTGGTGTTTATGTGTTTCATTGTATATAGCTGATAAAAGTAGACATTAGTAAGACATTATTAATAGGGCCCTTAGAAATTTTGCAAAACTCCACTGATTTCCTTGGCTTCATTCCTTCAGTTTCTGCTGGTACTTGGGATCTGAATCAACCTGCCAGCTGAAAATTATGTTCATTCTGCTCTCAAATGGTGCCAAAAACCATACTGGACTTTTGAGCTCTTATTTGTCTGTCTTGATAAGAAACTCAGAAAGTATTCACAGCATTGGTTCACATATATATTTTATTTAGGCAAATAGAAAGGCAAGGCACTTAATTTTCTCTTAAAAGGAAGTTAGTATTAGCCTGAAAACAGTAGAAATATTGAGCATTTGAAGAGATTCCAAAGCAGTGAAATAAATGTAAGTTTTTGCACATATTTCCAGTGTCCCTACTGGTAATATATGTAAATTAATGTTTTGACATCAGATTAGTATCTGAGTAGTGAGTTTAGACTGCCACAATAAACATGTCAAGCTATGTTCTAGCATGCAATGTCTAGCCATTTAATAACTTTATAAGGAGTGGGTTGTATTTTTTTTAAATGTCACTGAGATTATGTAGCGCAACTTTGGGCTCCATTATGCAGCCCTTCATGTGCAGAAAACGTCCATAGAAACAAATGAAAGTCTTGTGAGCACTGTGGCTTTCTGCAGGGTTGTGTTCTCTGTTTTTAATTTGCTAAGATTTATATGGTTTCTAAGACTCAGTAGATTCTATGTTGTGAAGCTTCAGTATACAACTCCAGACTAAGCTTAAATATTGTTTATAACCTTTTTTTCACTGCAGAGACTCCTGCTGTATTTCCAGAGAATATCAAAGAAAAAGAAACGCCAACACCAGTTGAAGATCTTCAGCTGGAAAGCTCCATTCCTCATACAGATTCTGGTATTGGAGAGGAGCAGATGCCCAGCATCTTAAATGGGACAGACTTAGAGACAAGCACAGGCCCTGATGCTATGAGTGAATTATTGTCCACTCTGTCTTCGGAGGTAAAGAAATCTCAGGAAAGCTTAACGGAAAGTCCCAGTGAAATCTTGAAGCCTGCACCTTCAATATCCAGCATCAGCCAAAGCAAAGGCATGAATGTCAAGGAGATATTAAAAAGCCTTGTGGCAGCCCCTATTGAAATTGCAGAATGTGGTCCTGATCCCATCCCCTACCCAGATCCTTCATTGAAGAGGGAAGCTCAGGCAATTCTTCCCATGCAGTTTCACTCCTTTGACAGGTATATGGCTGAGTTAATTATTTTATATTGTTCTAATTCTGAGATTCAGAGTATTTATTTGTTAACATGTTGATAGTCCAGTGTGAATTCAGATTCAATGATATTGAGAAAAATGTAGTTGCTTTACTGTTCACAGCAATACTAAATCCAGACCATATAGTATCTGTAAAAGCTTGTCATGTTGATTTTCTCTCTAAGCACCAAATAAAATTGTAATTGGTGCTGGAAGAACAAGCTTGCTTTAAAGAACTGTTATTGTAATAAAACTTTTTTTCTTTTAAAACCATCATTTGAATAGGAAAAAGTCAGTTTATGTACAACAGACTGTTTGGGTGAAGTCCCAACAAAATGCTTCCAAATGTTTGTCATTCCAGTCCTCTTCCAGTAGTGAAGCATTTTAGTCAAGCCAGATTGTCTGCATATTTCCCTCAGAATAAGATTGAGACTGACTCTTGTATTTCATTTTTTAAGTTTTAAGGACATTTTTTTACATTAGAAGGGAATGTATTTTACATTGTGGACCATAAATATTTTATTTTCCATGGTTGACTGAAAGTGCTCGCATTACTACTTAAAGAAACTTAATAAGAGGCAACCATGCTGATAGCCTGAATCTTAATATAGGAGTTATTTCGAGAGATGCAACTGACAACATCCTACAAAAAAGACACCACACTTGTATGGTGATGTTCATCCTTAATCTATGCGAGTCTAATTCTGAAGTACATTGACATGACTGAATTTTCCAGTGTGATGTGGTTGTTGTAGACTGTTCTCTAAAATACAGTAATTCCTCATTTAACATGTGTCCCCTTAACACGTTTTCACGATAGCATGATTTTTTGGGGGGGAATGTTTTTTTGAATTACACTACCGTCCCCAGTATAACACGATTTCCCCAGACAGCTTGTCACCGGCAGCTGCACAGGGCTTCCCCCACCTTCCTGCAAAGTGGCAGAGGGTTCACCGCTCGCCGCGCCGTTCCCCAGCAACCCCCTCCTTGCCGGACACAGTGCGGGTCCCGGCAGACCCGTCACGGCCATACTCCCATCCCAGTCCCCCTCTCCTCCCCTCCCCTCCCCTCCTCTTCCCCAGAGCCAAACACTTCCCCTCCCTGCTGTAACCCAGTCCTCTTTCTTCCCCAACCTTATGTACCGGTCCCAACAGACACCACCGCTTGAAATGCAACCCCCACCTTTTCCATTATTTTCAATGGGAAAATTGACCCCGCATAACACGTTTTCACTTAACACAATCATTTTCTGAAACACATCTATAGTGTTAAATGAGGAATTACTGTATTTAGATAATCAGAAGAACCAGTTAAACAATCCAGCATGAAATCTGATATGTGGCAAAACTATAAAATAGTGCTTTGGAAATATATCAGTTAAGATTTGTATAGCCACATTCTGAAACGAAATTCTGAAGCATCTTCAAAAATGAGCATTTCAGGCTTAAAATATGGCAGATTAAATCCTGCACAGATATATGAAATGCACACAAATTTTCATAATACAAGATGAAAATTTTCTCCATTAAAATATTAACAAAAACAAAATCCAGTCAAATGGTTTAGGTGAATTTAAACAATGACAAGGGGGATACATGAACATTACCATTCAAATAAAACTTAAAATATTATGTTGGGAAGCACTTCTCATTACGTAAGTATAGTGCAACTAAGAAGAAAATAATGTTATAGGTGCCGTCACTGGACTATTTCAATAAATAATGAGATTGAGACACGGGGAATACCTGAGACTGGAATATCAAAAAGGAAATGTGGTCTTCCCAAATTATTCTTTTGATTTTTTTTTTTTCAGAGAGACAGTCTACTTATTGCCTAATTCAGTAGGAAGAAGATTTTTTTTCTTCCTTCCTATTCATCAACTTACAGATGGTAATTTGGTTTGGTTACAAAGGGGCAATGTAGATGGGAAAAATCTTGCATCATTTGAGTGTTTTTCTTTGTGAGCAACCATCATATTCTCAAATATATTCCTTTTATATTTAGCAGAACAGCATGTTGTATGCTGTGAATTTACGAAGTACGTGGTAATTTCCTAAAAAAAAACCCAAACAAACCCTGTACACTCAAACATTAACAAGCTAAATTTCCTTTTTGATTATAGCACTGTGTGAGAGCTCTAAACCTTCATAAGAATATGCATCTATCTCAGTGAGATTCCATGCAAACTTGTGCACCTACATTAATTATTTTCAGTACAGATTCTGGGCCTAAGGTTATATGCAGTTGTTAGCTTTTTAATAACTTCATTAATGTTGTGTAGACATTCAGGTTATTAGGTTTTATTATTACTACATGTTCAAACTGTATCCTGTGTAGTGCAGTAGAACAGATGTGTGGGGAGGTGTCCCTGCACTGACTACCTTCATCACTCAGTGCAGATGGGGGGAAAGAGGATGCAGTGGAGTGGGGAAAATGGGCAGACCTCTTATAGTGTTGGGTGACATGGCTGTACCACTGCAATTGATGGCACCTGCTGCACTAAGTTTGTATGATGCAATTTACTCCCTTTCTTAGGCAACAAGAGAGCCCAGGAGAAGTTAGTGACTGAAAAGACTGAGACATAGTCTTTAAATGCAATGCCTGCGAATCAAAGCAGATTATCTCATGATTTAGTCCAAGTGTAGGTCAATATTTCTCAATCTTTCCCATACCAAGACCTTCCCCTTTCCCTCATCAGGAATGTCCTGGGATACCCCTTAGTTGGTGCCTCCCTTCCACTTCCTAATGTGGGAAGGGTAGGGTATTGCAACAGGCCTGCGTTCCTGATGCATGTTGACAAGTCTTAGTTTAAGACGCGTACCATGATCCACCTCTGGAAAGAATCAGTATGTTTAACGAGGAACGTAGCATATCCTGTCAATGGACAACGAAACAGGAAGTTGTTGTTTGGCTCTTCCCAGTCATACCAGACAATATTAAAAGTTGGCAAAACGGATATACCTATATCCTGCTTCACTTGTACTAAGTAGCACTGGTTATCCTTAGTCTGCTAAACAGTTGATCCAGCAGTGATTATAAATTACCCACAGTAAAAAGTGAATAGTTTTGATTTGACTGGCAGCAGCAGATTTCCCTATTCTGAAGCACAGGGAACATTCAATGTAGTCTCCAGTTATGTGAGGCTCAGCAGCTTTGGCTATTACACTTGGTCTTACTGGGGAATGCTCAGAAGGTTTTCATATTTATGGTATTGCTACAAAAATTGTCTTTTGATTTTGTAAGCCCATCAACTTTCACTAGAAGATGCTAAAGGTTTTTATTTTCTAAAGATGGTTTCTTGATTCACAAATAGCTCAGTGCTCCCTCCTTTTCATAGTTATATGCATGTCCATGTTCCCTTGTCAACTGCTGCAATGACTCTTTTGAAATATTAAGGTTGCTGACAAGCATTCTGTTGCATGCTTCGGTCTAAATCTGCCAGAGACAGGTTCACAGGCTACAAGCTACAAGAGAGAGAGAGAGATCCCTAGGAGAGGAAAAAAAACTAGGAAGCAGGGTGTATGCATTGTAATCTAGCTAATTTACAGTTGGAAGACCAAAAGACAGCTGCAGAGGGGTCCCAACAGCACAGAGAGACAATCTAAAATGTTGGATATGACAAATAGAAAAATGCTGAATTCCAGGACAATTTGGAAAAAATGCCAAATCCACAGGACATATGCAAATATGGATGGAAGAGTCACATCCTAAAAACATTAATGTGGGCTGCCTGTGGGTTTAGACAGGTATCATGACATCAGTTTGCACTTAGTTCATGTTTTCAAGGTTATCTTCCTAGCTAGCTATGAGGAGATGTAAGCAATGGAAACATCCTTTATTTTCTTTTAAAAGATTATAAAGTTTGTTTTAGGGGGGGTCATAACAGATGGTCTGAGAAACATCTGATAGATTTAAAAGCATATATAAGAGATTGACATAGAAATGCTCTAAGAGAGCCTCTTACAGACTTAAGAATGTTTTCTTCCTGTCATTCCTGTATTGTACTCATAAGTTGCAACCTAGTTGTTCTCTGTCTTGGTGTTTCTGGGACATATCTAAAGCCCGTTTTTTTATCGCAAATGAAAATATTAAAACAATAATGTGTTGAAAAATCTGTTACAGATTTGTAGATATATTTTTGTCATTTTATTGGCAATAATTGATATCTTACAGGGTATTTTCCTCTTAAAGTAGATGTACATTATCATGTGCTACGGACATATTTCTTATAGCAGGGGTTATGATAATTTTTAGAAAATAAACCACTGGAACAATGGTAAAATACTGAACAGAAACTATTTTAAAGGGTGGTGTGCTTTTATCTTAAATATTCTTAAAAATTGTACATTATTATTGTACATTATTGGTATTAAATGAAAATTTGCCAAAACTCATATAAATATTGTTTTAGTTAATAAAAATGAATACTGGTTTGAAATGTATTTACAATACTAATTTTCTTATACAAAAAGAGATACTAAGTAATGGTCCTTGCTCAGAATAACACATTTCTTAGAACTTGCATAACAGTAAATGAAATGTAAAAGCACAAAACATATTCCAGCACATTTTATCAAATGGGACTTCTGTGTAGTTAATGTATGCAGCAGGTCAAGTACTATCGAATGTAAATGATGAGGTGATATTGATGAAAGGAGGGGATTGAGGTCTCGAGGGGCGCTGATGACGGATTGAACAGAAGCGGCCTTGCGCTGCACGTAACTCAAGCCTGTCATCTTCACTGCTCAAAGCTATAATGGGAGGTGGCAGTCTGAAATGAGTTGCCAAGGCAAAGAGTATTATTTTTGAAATGCTTTCACACAAATCACTAGGCCCTGCATACAACTTAGTTTCATGCTTTAATGTCATCAGGAGGCACAAATTGGTGTGTCTAATTGTTTGCCACCTGCCAGCAAAATGAGCTGCCAGCCAGCCAGACGGGTTTGATTGTCTGTCAGCCATTCAATAGATTGAGAGTGACAACATCAAAAATTTCACTTCAAACTCTGAAGCTTTGTGTAGCTTTTCAGAGACCTTTTCCCTGCAAGTGCTTCTGGACAACTGCATTTTTCAATTAGTTTTCAATATATTGCTGCCTTCTGCCTCATCTGTGTTAAGATAGCTGTAATTACATTATGAGCTATATAAACAGATTTCTTGGATACTTGGAGCCTAGATTCTCAAAGTTATGACATGTCTTTTAACATCAAACCGAACTCCTTGAAAATAACACCCAGGGTGACACATTTAGAACCAAGCTCTGAGTGCTGTCTGTCCTGGACTTATAAATGTAATGCAGTATAACTTGCCAGTAATTCCTCCTTCCATTTTCATCTTTTGATGGCAAAAGAACATAAGCTCAGATCTAGTAATGACTGAGTATCAGAATATATTTTCTAAATGTGGTTTGTCACACAAGAAATAATCAATCAAAGATAGTGGGCATTATGAAACTTTAGGATTGAATCTATATGGTACTCTTATTCTGCAATTTGTTTGGTCTAGTCTTCCTGCTAAAAGTTCCTTACCTGAAATTACTGATGTTTCAAGTCATCTTGCTTTTGTGCCTTATACATTTATTTTTAAACTGTGCAATGAATTCTATAAACTTCCCCCAACCCGGTCAGATAGTTGAAGGCTGCTATGAAATCCCCCCTCAGGCTTTGTCTACGCTGCAGGGTTTTTGCACAAGAAGCTTTTTGTGGAAGAATTCTTGCACAAAAACTTCTTGCTCAAAAGTGCATCCACACCTCAAAAGCGCATCGCAAAAGCAATGTGCTTTTGCTCATGAGAGTGTCTACACTGCATGGATACTCCTGCACAAGAAAGCTCTGATGACCATTCACAGAATAGCCAGCAAAGCACCTGTGCTTTTTCCAACAGGTGTTTCTTGCGCAAAAAACCCTCCGAAGCATCCATACCTGCCTTTTTGCGCAAGAGCTGTAGTACAAAAAGGAGTTATTCCTCATAGGGAGAGGAATAACTCTACTAGCAAAAGCCCTCTGTTCTGTCGATTTTTCTTGCACAAAAATGTGCTTGAGGTGTGGACGCTTTTCCATTTTTTGCGCAAAAATCTTGTATAGACATAGCCTCTCTCTTCTCTTTTGTAGACTAATGAAGCCAAAATTCCTCAGCCTCTCCTTGTAAGTCATATGCTTCAGCCTGCTAATAATATTTGTTGCCTTCCAACTCTCTCCAATGTGTCCACATCCTGTCTGTAACGGGAGGTGCAATATTCCAAATGTGGCCTCACCAATGCAGGACTAAACACTTATCTAAATCTGCTGGCAATGTTTCTCCTAACGCACCCCAATATGTTGTTAGCATTCTTGGCTACAAGGAGACACTGTTGACCCATATCCAGCTTCTCATCCACTGTAATTCACAGGTCCTTTTCTTTAGAACTGCTGCTTAGCCTGTAGGTCCCCAGCCTGTAGTAGTGCTTGGGATTCTTTCATCCCAAGTGCAGGACTCTTCCCTTGTTCTTGTTGAACTTCATCAGATTTATTTGGGCTCAATCCTCCAGTATGTTTAGGTCACACTGGACCCTGTCCCTACCCTCCAGTGTATCTACCTCTCCCCCTAGCTTAGTGTTATCCGTGAACTTGCTGAGGGTGCAATCCATCCCCTCATCCAGGTCATTAATATAGATGTTGAACAAAACCAGTCTTAGAATTGAACCTTGGGCACTCTGTTTTATACCAACCACCAAGCAGACATATAGCCATTGATCACTAGTTATTGAGTCCAATGATCTAGCCAGCTTTCTATCCACCTTACAGTCCATTTATCCAACCCATACTTCTTTAAATTTTTGCTGGCAAGAATTCTGTGGGAGACCATATCAAAAGCTTTGCTAAAGTCAAGTTGTAACATGTCCCCTCCCCACATCCACAGAGCCAGTTACCTCATCATATCTGGCAGTCAGGTTGGTCAGGCATGGCTTGCTCTTGGAGAATCCATATTGACTATTCCTGATCATTTTCCTCAGTTCCAAGTGCTTCAAAAATTAAAAATGATTGACAATATGGAGGAAAGAAACACTTGGAAGCATATGATCCAGTAACCAGAACGGAGCAGTTAAATTACATGACGGTATATCTTTTTTGTACTCACTGCATCACTGTACAGTTTATATAGGTATACACTATACAGGTATATATGGTTGTGACTATTTTCTTCCACTATTTGATCTGAGGAAGCGGGTCTGGCCCACGAAAGCTCATCATTTAATAAACCATCTTGTTAGTCTTTAAAGGGCTACATAGTCCTGTATTTTGTATACAGTTTCTGAGTGTGATTTTGAAAAGTTTGTAAGGCTGGCCTCTCTCTGCTCCCAGTGTAGCTAATTACAAAACAGGCCTGGAAGGAGACAAAAAGAAATTGGGCCTCTGACAGTGCTGACAGAGTGCCCTGTTTTAGACTATAGGTTCTCTTATGGATCTCATTGCCATAGTATCTGGGTACCTTCCTGTCATGGTTTTTTTTCCTTCTCTCATACTCACCCCAGTGGAATAATTCTGTATACGTTTTAATGTGTTATCATGGGTAGGATTTTTGGTGAAGGTTTGTTTAATTGTCCATACAGCTTAGTGTTTTTTAGACAAGACAAGATTGAATAACTGCAGGAGCAGGTGCTGAAGTTTGTAATGGTCCCACAGTCTGGATATGTCTACACTACAGAGTTTTGTCAGAAAACAGCCATTTTTCCGACAAAACTTGAGGAACGTGCACACTGCAGTTGCATTCGTCTTCAAGAAAATTGAAAGAAATGGCATCTGCTCTTAGAACACCACCCACAGCCTCTGACTTAATTAAATTTGGACTCAACTCCATTCAAAGCAATGGAGACTAAAGAACACTCATTCTACCACTTCTGTAAAGTGATGACTGCCCTAAATGGCCAACATTAAGTGAGGGACACCTTGCCACTTAACTAAAATTTATGTTTCTAGTACTTGTATGCCCCCACCACCATAATATCTGAGCTTTTGAGGATCTACCTGCATAATATCCTTGTGAGTTGGGGAAGGGCCTCCAGTTTACTGAGGCACAGAAAGATGGTTCAAAGATCGGGTAGCAAATCTTTTTACAGAGACAGGGAACCTACATCTCCTGAGTTGCCAATCAGTCGGTTAACCATGTGACTATCTTTACTCTTACCTTCATAGGAGACATCCTATGAAATGTTGATGCGTAGAGCATTGTATCTTCATCATGATCAGACAATCACTTCCTCTTTGCTGATCTGAGCTCTTCCCTTCATCTTAGCAACCAAAGGCACAACTTTGATTATCCTCCATAGACTGTATGTTCCCAGCTTCCTTCTTAAAAATTCTAATGGAAAATGCAAGGAATACAAAAAGTTAAATCACAGAGATCTAAAGGCAGGTGAGGTAGAAATACCCTTCCCTATCTCAGCTTATAGAGGTTCTCAGATTACATGTCACAGACGAAACATGAATGATATTTTCTTAACTCCAAGAGCAGCAAAAACTTACATATATGTAGAGGGGGAAAGCACGACAAATACTTTAAATTCATATGACTTCTCTGTGAAACTACCTTGGCTTATTTTTTATAGAAATAACTATTCACATCTGAGATGGCTAGTCTCCAGCTTTCAGCAATCACATTCAGAACTGATACATACCACCATTTCTCAGAATGAGGCACAGTATAGCACAGGAAATCTCACTCTCCACTGACAACTCTGACACATGATGGCCTTGGATATCAGAGGGAGCAAAGAGCCCCAGGGATATGGCTAACGGGTTGCTACTATCAGATGCATTGATCCTATGGTCAGTGATGTTGAAAGAGAGCAGTCTGTCACCCATATTTATTCAAGCTGATACTAATGAAACCAACTCTTGATGCATCCTATCTCTCCAGTACAACCTGGTATCTAATCTTCTGTTTCTCAGCAAGATGGCTGAGAAGTTAGCAAGTAACTATCTTCAAGTACACCTGACACCTGTCAGTATCCAGATGAGTTTTAGATTAAAATGAGGAACACAGGCCACACTGCTTAATAACTTCTACTGGACATGGACAGTAGACAAATATCTACTCCAATTTTATTCAACTCTTTGCATTTAAACCTATTATACCTGGAGTTTCCTAAAGCTCTATACTCTTCTGTCTCCTTCTCAACCTCTAAGTCAAACCTTTGGGAGCAGGGCTTTTTAAAAACATAGCAGGCCAAAGAGTACTTTGAGAGTACTTGATTTTTGGTATGAATCTATCTCCTTTTTAGTCAGCAGACAGGAAGGTGGATGCCTTCACCAGAAAGTTGGTCTGACCCAAATAAAAATAAATTCAGAGGGGAAATATTTAAAAGTATTTTTAGCAAGGGAAGGTGAAATATTGGTCTATAAGTTGTATTGGTCTATAAGTTTAGCTTGGACTTCATTTATTTAATAAAAGAGAATCAGAGATTTAGCTATGCCTTCTTATTAAAACACACTTTTTTGGGTATGCTAAGAACAATACCGAGATGCTTACTTGAAAAGCACTTTCTGAAGTGCAGAACTGTAGCCAGGAAGCTGACATATTACCCTAAATAGCAAGATTCTTTTGTTCTTTTATTTCAGTACTACAATATTATGCCAACTTTGGTTGAAAAATGAAGTGCATGTGTTCAGAGAAAACAGCATGTGGGTGTAATGAAAATGATAAGCATCTTTTTTTGTTGCATTTAAAAATCCCTTCTGCTTCAGATTTGTTTTTCACTTTCTAGTTTTGTTATGAATCAGGGGCCACAGAAATAGTTTTTTCTATAAAATAAAAAGAGAGACATTAAAAATAGACATTTCTGCCAGCACAATGAAGGAGACCTTTTGTTTATGAAAAAAAAACCACGCTACAGGTCGAACCTCCCTTGTTCAGCACCCTTTGGACCTGAGTGGTCCTGAACCACAGAATTTGCCGGATGAGGGGAAGTCAAGGCTCCCTACCCAAGTGTAGGGTTCTGCGCTCAGGTGGGACTGCACTCCATTCTGTCTGCCCTGGTGCCTCGAGTCACCACCAGCCTCAGAAGTGGTCACCTCATTGCCTCCAGCTAGCTGAGGCTGCACTCCCCGCCCCCCAATCAACAGCGCCGGCCCAGACTGTGTGCCCAGGTGCTGGCCCTGTTGATTTCAGCCCTGGCTGGGACTACGCTCCCAGCTGCTGGCCCTGCTTTGTCCAGCCCCAACTGGGGCTGCGCTCCTCACACTTTGCCAGTCCTATTAAGGACTGCGCTTTCCACTTTGCCAGCCCTCGCTGGGGCTCTGCTCCTTGCTGCTGGCCCCACTGCCTCCAGCCCACGTTGGGGCTACACTCCACAGCGTCAGTCCAGCCTCTGCTGCGCTTATGAACCTGGCCAGCCTGTGCTCTCTGGTCCAGCAATATCAGTGGTCCTGCTGCACCATGGATGTTGCTGGACCAGAGAGTCACAAATTTTAGAGGTTTGACCGATATTTAAATGTCTCTTGGTATTTTCCTTTTTTAAATTATTTTCAGCTGCATATATCAGGCCTTTTAGTCACAAATAGGCTGAAGGAAAATACTCTGTCTTTAGATGCGATGAACATGTACTTGTCTCAGTACAATAATCAATGTTTGTAGGGGGTCCCTACTTTTCTTTTCCTGAAAGTTTATATAGTCTCAATACTGCAAAAAAAATTTGAATTATACATTTTAAAACTATACATTTAATTTCATTCATAAAATAAAGTGTGTGATATACACTGTGGGCTTGAGCCTTCTCTATCTTGTACATTGTGTTTTCAGTTTACTTCTTGGCATTGTTGAGAGCAAAATGGATATAAAACATCACGTCGAGTGAGAGTGCAGGACTCTGATAGCTATCATACACAGTTTTTTCTAATTATAGTTGACTGCACCAAGTGCAAAGCAGAGCAGCATCGGGCCCTATGTTCAGATGACATTTATAATTGTCATTTTGATCACTTTGGGTATGTCTACACTACCCTCCTAGTTCGAACTAGGAGGGTAATGTAGGCATACCGCACTTGCAAATGAAGCCCGGGATTTGAATTTCCTGGGCTTCATTTGCATAAGCGGGGAGCCGCCATTTTTAAAACCCCGCTGGTTCAAACCCCGTGCAGCGCGGCTACACGGGGCTCGAACTAGGTAGTTTGGACTAGGATTCCTATTCCGAACAACACGAGGTGTTCAAATCCCGGGCTTCATTTGCAAGTGCGGTATGCCTACATTACCCCGCTAGTTCAAACTAGCGGGGTAGTGTAGACATACCCTTTCATAAGATCATTCAATGACATCTGCTCAATTTCAGTTTCATGTAAGATTGTACAGATGTGCACTAGCAGTGTACACTGCATTGCCAAATATTTGCAGTATTTCCATTTAAAAAGTGGTTATAAATACAAAGTGCTATGCAGACATTAATGACAATTATTAAATGTTTATCCTTGTGAAAGAGGAGATACTGCAATTGAAACAGAGTAATTGAAATTCTCATGACCTCACATAGAGGCAGGACCTGGATTCGAATTTAGAAGTTTCTAGATCAGTTTCATGCTTGGTCAACTAGAGCAGTGTTTCTGAAAGTGTTCCGCGAAATCACTTTCAGAAACACATTAACTGGCCACCTCGGTTTGTTTGTTTATTGGCGCTGCAGCCACGGAGCCTCGCGGCTCCCATTGGCTCTGTTTTGTCCTTTGCAGCCAAGGGGAGCTGCGGGAAGTGGCAGCATGCCACTTCCCGCAGCTCCCCTTTGGCTGCAAAGGATGAAACTGAGCCAATGGGAGCCGTGATGCTCTGTGGCCACGGCACCAGTAAATAAACAAACCAGGGCGGCCAGTTAATGTGTTTCTGAAAGTGATTTTATGGAACACTTTCAGAAACACTGTACTAGAGCACACTATTCCATAAAAGTTTAGGAAATATTTAGGTACAATTATGCCTATTTTGCATCACTCTTCACTAAAAAGGTTAATGGTGATCACATAAGCAACACAAACAATTAATGTTAATAACAAAAGGGAAGGAACCAAAGTTAATAAAAACAAAGTTAGAGACTATTTAGAAAAGTTAGATGTCTTCAATTCATCAGGGCCTGATGAAATTCATCCTAAGGTACTGAAGGAACTAGCTGAAGCAATCTCAGAACCGTTAATAATTTTCTTTGAGAATGGCTGAGTAGAGTCCTGCAAATCTGCAGATATCCGCAGATCATTTTTGCAGGTGTGGATACAGATTTTCTATCTAGAATCCTACAAATTTGCAGATGCCCACTTAGTATCCATGGGTATACATATCCATAGATGTGGATGCAGATATCCACATATAATTTTTGCAGATGTGGATACAAGTATCCACACAGAGTTCTGCTTGTGGAGAATAGATCAGATCCTAGAGGACTTTACAAGGGCAAACTTAATGCCTAGCTTTAAAAGGGTGGATAAAAAGGACTGCGGGAATTTATAGATCATTTAGGTTAACTTGAATACCTGAACATCAGTCTGTCTGTAAGCACCTAAAGGACAATACGAGTATAAGAAATAGCCAGTGTAGATTTGTCAAGATCAAATGAAGCCAAACCAACCAAATTTTCTTCTTTTGGCAGAGTTACTGACCTAATGAATAAGGGAGAAGCAGTAAATGTGATAACTCTTGATCTTTAGTAAGGCTTTTAACACCGTTCCATGTGATAGTTTCAGAAGACAACTAGGAAATGCCTCTAGATGAAATTACTATAACATGGATGCACAACTGATTTTAAAACTTTACACAGAGTCTGAGGGATAGTAGTGTTAGACTGTATCTGCCAAAACAATGAGGAGTTCTTCGACATTAAAGACTAACAGATTTATTTGGGCATAAGCTTTTGTGGGTAAAAACCACTCTTAGATCTACTTGAAGAACAGTTATTACTGTCAAACCAGGAGAGTGTATCTAGAGAGGTCCCATTGGGGGCATGCTATTCAGTATTTTCATTAGTGACTTGAATGATAGTGTGCAGAATGTTTATAACGTGCAGATGGTAAAAACTGAGGTGGAGGGTTATAGTCACTTTGGAGGGCAGGATTAAAATTCAAAATGCCCTTGGAAAATTGGTCTGAAAACAACAAGATGCAATTCAATTAAGATAAGTGCAAAGTGCTTCCTTTTAGGGAGGAAAAATCAAATGTACAGCTAAAAATTGGGGCATAACAAGCTAGGTAATATTACTCCTGAAGAAAACCTGGGGTTTGTAGTGGATGACAGATTGGTCAAGAGTAAACAATGTGATGATGTTGCAAGAAAGATTAGTAATATTCTGTGGCATATTAACAGCAGGGTCATATGTAAGACCCAGTAGTTATTAGTTCTGCTGTATTTGGCCTTGGTGAGGACTCAGCTAAAGCAGAATGTCCCATTCTGGATGCCACACTTAAGAAAAAAATGTGAAAAAATTGGAGAGAGCCCAGAAGAGAGGATCAAATATGATAAAAGGTTTAAAAATAATGACCTAGAAGCAATGTTACACCTTTGTGTGGAATACATTTTATGTGGGCCAAGGCATGTGCAGATGTCTGCCACCAATAGTAACGCATGCTGCTGGTTGTAAGTGCCCATCTTACAGGGAACACTGCCTAGAAAGAAAGTTTAACAAAAATTAGGGCATGCTTAGTTCTGAGAAAAGAAGGCTGAGGGGGGATCTGATAACTCTTAAAAAAGAGGACCTATCCTCTAAAATTGTTAAATTATTGATCAGTCATTCTTCTTGTGTGCTGGCTTTAGGAGTAGCAGCAATGGGCTTAATCTGCAGGAAGGGTGATTTACTTTAGATGTTAGAAAAAGCTTTTTAACTATAAGGATAGATTTCTAAGGAAGGTTTGGAATTCTCATCCCTGGAAATGTTTAAGAACAGGTTGGACAATTACCTCTTGGGAAAGGTTTAAATTTACCTGGTCCTACCTCATCCCAAGGGCCATGGATTTATGACTTGTCTAGTCCCTTCCTGGCCTACATTTGTATGATTTTTTTTGTTTGTTTATTCCTTATCAAAAGTGGTTAAGATACAAAACCAAACCCCAGTGTTACTTCTTGGTGGTAGTGAATTGACTTGCCATTTCTTTCCCTGCAGGAGTGTTGTTGTACCTGTAAAGAAACCACCTCCAGGTAGTCTAGCTGTTACCACAGTTGGAGCTGCTACTGCTGGAGGTGTACTGCCACCGGGTACTACACCAAACATATTTGCTGCTACAGGAGCTACACCAAAAAGTATGATTAATACAACAGGTATCGTCCTTAAATATTTTTGTGACCCTCATCTTTTTCTTTGTGTTTTTTCTTCAGTTGTCTCCTTTCTATTAGTATTGTGCCTTTAAAGAAATTTGGAAAACTCAATTATATCTCTCGTCCTCTATGAAGGACACAATTTCCTCTTGCTATATATGTATTCTTGCCATTATTACTTGTGGAAATTATGCAACCTCATATAGGTGAATATATAGTCGTAGTGCTGATTTTAAAAACAGAAAATTACAACAGAAGAGAGTGAGTTTCCCTGGTGCCTCCTCTCTCCAGTGGTAGCATATTTGCAGGGGTATGCAAACTTAATGCTAATAGATATTACTTATTTAATATCCCAAAGGAGGCAAAAAAACTACTAATTGCTACTAATATACAGGAGTAGAAAAGGGACATTCCTACCCTAAATCTGTTTTAGGATTTGTGAATAAAAGTCATGATGGTTTTGTTTCATGAGGCCTTTCACCATTGTTAACATGACTCATTCTTCAAGTAACAGTTTAGCTTCACCTTACAGGTTAACCTGTAAAGGTTTAAAAAGAGAGGTAGTGGCTGCTTTGTTTCCTTATGATTCTATAAGGAAGGCCTTTTGGGGGTTCAATTTTTAGTAGTTACATTAGAAATTCAGGGTCTGCCTATCCTGGAAGAATCTGTGGATGACTGGGTAGGATTATGGCATCACAGATATCAGAGCAATGCAATAGGAGTGAGAGGAAGTTATTTTTACTTATAGATTCTAGGGCTGTCAATTGACCTGCATGAACACCTGCAATTAACGCAGGACAGGATTAACAGGTTAAAAAAATTAACGTGTTAATCGCAGGCATTAATGATGCCATGCTTCATAGAAGTGCTGCTCCAGCACGTCAAAGGGGCAGCGCAAGCGGAGCCAGGGATCAGTGGGAGTGCCCAGCTCATCCCCGGCTCCGCGTTGCAAAGCCTCTTTGAAGTGCTGCTTCAAAGAGGCTTTGCAACAACGGATCTGGGAACCAGTCCTCAGCTGATCTCCGGTTCCATGTTGCTAAGGGCTTTGCAACTCAGAGCTGGGGATCAGCTGGGGACTAAACCCCGGCTGTACTGTTGCAAAGCCCCTTGGAAGTGCTGTTCCGGCACTTCCAAGGGGCTTTGCAACGTGGAGCCAGAGTTCATCAGGAGTCCTTAAAGGGGCAGCGCTGCATGGAGCCCAGGGTCAGCTGGGAACTCCAATTGATCCCAGGCTTCATGCAGTGCTGCCCTGTTGAAACAACCACGGCATTTCAAAGTGGAGTTGAACGCGATTAATTGCATGATTAATCGCGATTAAAAATTTTAATCGCTTGACAGCCATAATAGATACATTTCTGGTATTGGACTAAGTTTTTAACTATGCACTTAAACACTTGAGAATTAGTTCAGTGACATAACTTTTGGTGACTTGAGTCAGGGGTTCAGGAAAATGAATTATTTTGTGGGAGAAGCAGGCTGGGAAATGGGGCAGCAGCCTTCTGTCTGTTTCATAAAATAAAATAGGAAGCATACTCATTTTTTTTCCTTTGTGGGTCTCCTTTAACTCTTGCTAATGTACTTTGTGAGTAGAAATGTTAATTACTCTTTCGAGAAAATATCTGTTCAATTAAATTAATTCAATGAAGACTTTTGTAAATATTTGTATTTGTTTACCTGTTTCTGTTGAGTTCAAATTCTGTTTGTAATCCCCTTTTTAGGTACCCATATAATACCATAAGAGAGTCCTATTATTGAAGTCTTTTCTCCAAATGATACTGTATAGGCTTCAGTTTCTCAATCTTCACGTCATAACTTTAAACACTCCATACCTTGCATCGATTGAGGAGCTCTTACTTCACAGTGATTGCTGTTAAAAAAGCAATAATTCATCCCAAATGTTTCAAAGTACAGTACAGGGAAATACTGCGGTATCAGATGACACAATATGTTGACTGTGGGTAAATGTTAGCTTTTCATAGTTATCCCTGCACCTCCTATGTATTCTTTTTATCATAACAATTTTTGTCTAGCAGACTATGGATAGCAGATTTATGGGAAAGTATTGCCTGAAAAGTATTTCAGCAGTGTTTGCCAGTTTAATTCCTCAGAACTACAAATATACTGAGCTTCTTAACTGACCTTTGGGTAAGGAAGTTCATGGCTGTTTTAGGCTTGTTCTGTTTTGTAAAGCTTTTATGCTTGAATTCACCAGAATGAGCATTTATTCTCCCTCTCTGATCTCAGCAAATACAGTTTAAAAGCTGTTCTTTTCCACCCTTCATTTCCAAAAGATAGCAATGTCTATGTTTTTAAAAAGTGCATATGTGTCAACAATAAATTGCAAATCAGAAACTGTGGGATATAGAAGATGTATTGAAAAGATAAACATGTTTATTATGGAATTGCTTACATTGTGAGTTAGGTCATGATAGGTTTTTTGTTTGCTTGTTTTGGTTTGCATTGAGTTTTGGAGTTGAAGGGTTTCTTTCTTTTTGTCATTGAATGAGCCAAAGTGTAGGATTTACAATTTCAGATTATTCAGTTATATTTTACTTGAAATAATTAACTTAATTAATGTTATGAATGATATGGTGCTGTTTTAAGGCACATTTTGCCTAACATATCCAGATGCTGTCCAATTTATGTATTTGCTGTGGTGTTTAAAAATACTTTGTTGATAAAAAGCAAGTGAAACAAATACCACATTGTAAAGTGAACTAAGCAATAGTTTACTGGTGTGGGAAAAATGCTCTTTAGTCATTTAGAGACACTAGATGTCTCCCAAATCCTTTATTTCTCATACAATAAATATGCTACTAATGGCACATATACAGTATGTAACTTCATCTTAGACAAGCATTTTGCACTAAGGTATTTTGACAAATTATTTAAACAGAATACAAAAATAAGTTGTCAAAATTAACATCCATTGTTATAACCACTGTCCCAGAGCAAGCTTAGGTTTTAAACCCATTTTAGTGCCTCTGAAGTGCACTTTTAGGGGACAGGTTTCAGTAGTTTGACTCCTCTCTGAGTATATCTATGCAGTTCTTCTACACTTAGACTGGATCTCTGGGCACAGCTATCCTGTTTCTCAGTAGTCTTAACTGGACATGCCCAAATGGGTTTGACATCTGCAAGCCATTTTCCTCTGGAAGCCTGTGACAATGACTGATTATAGGGCAGGGGAGAATCCTTCAAAGCATTATTTTTTAATTTTTCCGAAAGTATATACCACACAGAGCAAAGCGTAAAAGCAATAAAAGGCCTGTGCCAATTTTTCCCTTACCTAAATCCTAATGTTTCCTTAAAAGCTTTTTTAAAGTTCCTTTCAGCCCAGTTACCTTACCTTCTGGGTTGGGAGAGACAGCAGGTTTACTGAAGTTCGTGTTAACATTTCCTTCCTGGACAGCTCTTTTATTTTTATTTTTCTTTCCTCTTTTTTCCTTTTTTAAGGATAACATCTTTTAGGATTTTAATATCCCCTTTGATCTTAAATTCAGGCCTGGAAAGTAAGCCTTTCCAGCCTGACAGAAGTCAGGGAAGGGTGTACCCTAATTAGTAGCTTCCCTATTGTTTCCTCAAGGACCATAGGAATTCTGTCAGACTGTACCTTGCTTTTGCCATTAAGTTTCCTACTATACAGTGTCATTTGATTTATGTCCCACAGACAGGCAAAAATACTAATCAGGTAAACTGAGATGCATATAAGATGACCAGATAGCAAGTGTGAAAAAGTCAGGGCAGCATCATGGTGGACGTAATAGGGTCCTATTTAAGAAAAAAAGCCCATAATATCAGGATGTCTGGTCACCTGAAGTATATACAATACTTATTTGAAAATATAGTCATTTGATTTATGTCCCACAGACAGGCAAAAATACTAATCAGGTAAACTGAGATGCATATAAGATGACCAGATAGCAAGTGTGAAAAAGTCAGGGCAGCATCATGGTGGACGTAATAGGGTCCTATTTAAGAAAAAAAGCCCATAATATCAGGATGTCTGGTCACCTGAAGTATATACAATACTTATTTGAAAATATATATATATATATA